TATATATATATATATAAATTTTTTTTATATTCCTGAAAAGTGATTCTTAATTACGGAAAAGTTCTGCCATTTCATGTGATGTTGAGCACTTTTTCTTACAATCAAGTATGCACACCAGAAAGAAAAGTTCTCAGCACCACATGAAATGGCAGAACTTTTATAATTAAGAAAATAAATATTTTTTAAATTAAAGGACAGTGTCCTTTACAGCTTTGCTATTATATTTTAATTCAGTTTACTTTCATACAATTATTATTGTTCCACTCTTCTCTCTCACAGGAGAAGGTCTATTGGCATTCCTGAGTGATAGACATCTTGGAACAGTTACAGACAAAACTATACACAGTCTCGTGGTGTATTAATTAGGAAAAGTTTGCACGCTATCAACAGCTAAACTCTTGTGTACAGCATTCAAATTTAGTACGCATTGAATCCAGGGATAAAAAAAGTTAAAAAAAGAAGAAAATTTTAATGGGAGAAAAGATAGCTTTATTGCTTTTCATTTATATAGAAATTTCTTTTAAGGTGAAAAAATCTCGTTTGTAACTGTACGGTATAAGACTATAATTTTTCTTTGATTATTAATATCTTAGCAATAAAAATATTCGTATGGATTAAAAATGCAAGTTCACAGAACATTCCCCCACCCGATCCAGTATATTTTCTTTTTCTATAGTATTTCTTTATTAGGAACATACCAATAATAAATTAAATCTATTTTGTTTCTCGTTTACGCTACTAATTGCTACTCTGCAGTTAGAGTACATGACCGCTGTTGCTGATAATGAACCTTGACATAGGGAAATAGCGACAATGTAACAAATTTTTAATTGCCAAGATTGAAAAATGGATATTTCTTAGGTATACATATTGCACTTTTACAATAGAAGCTATGTGGGGCTTTTCATGATTTTATATAACCAGGAGTTTCTTTTGGAATGTCAACAGCTCCCAATTGCAGTGAAAAGGAATTGATCTATTGTCATTATAAATAGGTAAAATCCGAGTCTTGACATTTTACCCAGCGTAGACATATACTTCAGCAAGTGTATATATATATATATATATATACTTGACGACTGCGTCTAGCATGAAACATCCTGTCGCCTCTGAGTGTTGACTTCAATGTTCACTTTTATGTTTATATTTACATACGCTCTATCTTTGATATTGAGAACTTTATCCTCTCTCTCTCTCTCTCTCTCTATATATATATATATATATATATATATATATATATAAACAATGTCCGGGGAAAAGGAAGTATGTTCTAGGTCAACCGGTCGACTGACTGCTTTTCACTTTTCTTTCCCTTTCTTACTCTCTTTTCCTTCTCTCCCATGTCTATCTTTCTATCTCGGTCTTTTTCATCCCGCATAAAAAAAAACTTATTTTGAAATCTCTGTCTTCCCCTCTTATTTTTGAAATTTTTTCTTTTTTCTCTCTCTTCCACCATTTTCCTTTTTTCCTTTTCTTTTTTTTTTTTGGTTGTCTTTGGATAAATCTAAAATCCATTTATTTTTGTAAAATATTTGGGCCTGAAGAGGTGGGCCCTGATCCCATGAAATAAACTATTACCTATGGATTTCTAAGGACTCAATTATATATTATAATATATATATATATATATATATATATATATATATATATATATATATATATATATTATTTTAAAAAGAACGTATAAACATAAAAAATGTCTTAAAATAAGTGTCCATTTCATAATGTGTGACGTCATTTGTTTACCTTTGGATACGCATCGAGCTGATATGAATGTACGAGAGAAAATCATGAAGAATTGTAGTTTAAAATCGACCTTGTTAACCTAGACGTTCCTCTGCGACTAAATCGGTAAAAGTGCGCCAAGCTATATGATGGTTCCGTATAAGATACAGTTTCGATTCCTGTCGGAAGACGCATATTTTCTATGAAAAATTCTCGGACATTCAGGCCGCTAAATGTCGTTAATAATGTTTATTATAAACAGAGCGTTTACTTAATTATTTGTATCTATAAAAAGAACGTATAAACATAAAAAATGTTTTAATATATATCCAGCATATTTTCATTTAAACATGCTTCATTGGACAATATAGATATATCGTTTTTTTTCTTCATAATAATCCTTTCTAGTATTCTAATTGGCTTCTTGATGCTAAGTTGAAATTCGTCAAGGACAGCGCCGTAATTTTTGTTAATCCAAGTACTTTCGATCTCTTCCGAGATCATCTTCAGGGGTGACAAACTTAATGTAACTGTAATGGTCGTGATGGCGAGTTTTGAAAACATGCCAGAACGCGCTCTGTTATGATAAGTTTAAATATATCAGTTGTAGCTCTGGTGTTTTTTTTTTGTTTTTTGTTTTTGTTTCAAAGCAAACGACTCAATGTAAGGAGGGTAACCAGAAATGGTAGGAGTGCAAAATAACATTAAATATTGGTCAAATGCATTTCAAATCGTTGTTGATACACACATAATAACTTTTGTTCAGTGTTGGTTGGTTGCTTCTGATCTAGAGGGTCTCGGGTATTTGAAGCTTTTGATTATTATTTTCATGGTGTAGTATTCATTGGTGTTGTCAACAAATATTTTTCTGTATTGTGAAGGAGGAGAGAAATGTGTCTTTTAATGTAGTATAAGAGAACTTGAACCCGACAAATAAAGTGTATGACGTTTTGATAATGTTGTTGTCAAGCCTATATATATATACTTACATTTTTGTTAGAGATACAATCTCCCAAAGGATATTTAATCTGATATTCCTGGCTTATGTCAGAGGGTGGCCCCCTGCCGAAAGTGACTCCGTTTTTACGTGGTTTATAGGGAATATTTATCCGAGCCTACGGGTTCAGATACCCCACTTTAAACATGACCGTGTGCCACATCTTGCTGCGTGGGGCGTGTAAAGGTTAAATAATATATATATATATATATATATATATATATATATAAATAATTATTCTATAATTATATATATATATATATATATATATATATATATATATATATATATATTATTATATTTGTATATATATATATATATATATATATGTTATATATATATATATATATATATATATATATATATATATGTGTGTGTATATATAGTATAGGATTGGTGTATACGGAATAAATTCAATAACCAACAAATACTATCTTAAAAGAGTGCTCAATGCAGAGTAGAGCAAATATAATTATTTATTCTAAAATTATAACATGAATATGTTATAAAAACACTACAAAAACAGCCATTTCGTTTCAACACTTCTGGTGTCTTATCAAGTATATATATATATTTTTTTGTAATGAAGAATGTATGCGTACTTATCAGAAGTGGTTTATTTAAAGGATATAGTTGTCTCACACGTTAAGATAAGTCTGTTTTGAGGAAAATCTGCGTTCGTGTGTATGACCACGCTCGTTCATGTACGTGTGTGTGCATGGGAGAAACAGGCACGAGAAAGTCAAACCTGAATCGATCGACCACTGAATCACGTGACCCTGTTCATCAATTTTTTTTCCTGTCCGGGCGAAGTAATCAGGCTGGCGTTTAGCGTGAGATGAAGTTGCAGAAAGAGAAAGGAGAAGGAAGAAGTTACAACTAAAGAAGTGGGGTGGGTGGGAAGAGAAAGATGTATACTCTGATGTAGAAGTGTGTGTGTGTGTGTGTGTGTGTGTGTGTGTGTATAGGCGAATGCGTATAAGCAGAAAAAAAGGAAGCAGAATAGGATGAGGGTTAGGGTTACGTGAAAGCGAGGTCAAAGATGTTAAGGAGAGAAACAGATGGAGAGTGATGACAGAATCTGTAAAGGATTGGGAGAAGTGTAACGAAAAGGAATAAGAAAAAGGAGGTGACAAAACGAAGAAGAAAAAAAGGGGAAGAGCAAAAGAAATAAAAAAAGAGATAGTCTGGAAGAGAGATGAATGAGATTGAGAGGAGCCAATGCGCATGAGCAGAAACGGGACATTGATGATAAAGAAAGATAAAGTGTTTGATTTTAGGTAAACATTTTTTTTATCGCTAATGACACTGGACTACAACAAACGAGATCAAATGGTTATTTATTCATTGCTTAACGCATTTTCCTTCGATTTTCCCCCTCTTTTGTCAATATGAATTCTAAGCACATATGGTAATTACCAGTTAGAGAAGGCAACCATCAACTACGATATTCGAGGTGCCTTACTAATTCCCATATAAATGATACTTTCATGATAGAAAATGATTTCAAATCACGTCAATGTATAATGCCAACATTGGCGTACGGGCATGAAACATGCAAATTATCATAATGGAGTCAAAAAGACACAAAGATCATTGGAAATAGCAATCCTAGGGATAATTCTAAAAAACAAAAAAGTTCAGCATGGATCAGTGAATAGATCAAGATAGAAGATATCTTGATTAAACAACAAAAATGGCGGTAGGCGTGGCACAAAAAAAAGAAGAAGGAACAGCAACAATCGAAACAAACAGTTGATTGAATGGCGCCGAACGAACAACAAATACAACAGAAGTGCTCTTAGAAGATGGGGAGTTGGTAATATATAGCAGAAATTAGCAAAGTCATGGTTGTCATGGAAGGATTTAGAAAAAGAATTCTTCCAGCAGTGTACACGCAGTGACCGCTGCTGTTGATAATAATGATGATCAAAAAATTCTTTATTTAATAAAAAAAACAAAAACAAAACAATATGCCTACTACTAGTATTATTAGAGAAAATAAATCAATTAAAATTGATTCGCAGGTTATTTAAAGCCAGAAAGTATCTTTTACATTGTAAGAATGTTTTGGAGGTGGGTAGAGATAATAATGTTTTAATGATACAAGTCTTACTAATTAACCCATAGGTGGGAGGAGAAGAGATCGATTCATACCTTTCTCAAGAATATTTACGCGTAAGTGAATATAATGAAACCAAATGGAATTAGAACTCGGCTCTCCAATTAACAATTCCAAGCCATTATCCATTGCACCACTGATACATCCAAGCTTAGTGCACCTGGTATTCCCAAGCGGTTACCCATCTAGATACTGACCTGGCCTGACCTGCTTAACTTCGGTGATCCTACGGGAACCAATGTTTCAACGTGATATGGCCGTAAGCCAAGTAAGGTTAAGATGAAAGAAATACTCAATTCTTAACAACTGTTCGTCTAGTAAAAAAATCAAGATAACTTCATATCTACGTGTAGTATTCGAAATAGCAATATCATCTTGAACTTTTATTGGATGAGGGGTTGATAATCATTTTTAATTTTTAACAAGTATTTCTTTCGTCAATATCTGTCTATATTTCTGAGATGAGGTATTATGATTACTTACATTATTTACATTATTCGGACTGTTATCCTCATCTTCATTGTCATATTCACAACGTTTCAGCCGTTGTACGCTCCGGCCTGATTCAGGTGATTGGAATTTCGAATTGAGCCCTTTATTTCGTCCAGGGTTGATTGTTCTAGTTCCACTTGTCATGCCTCTTCTGGATGTCTCAGTTATTTCCCTTTAACTCAACTCTCTGCCGTGGCTGGTATTGAACTCACAACTCTTTGGGTATAGTCACCGGATCTAACCAACGTCTTTATCCACTGGGACGTGTGTCCTGACACATTAAAGGGAAATAACTGAGACATCTAGAAGAGGCATGGTACGTGGAACTAGAACAATCTACTCCGGTGGACGAAATTCCACTCACCTAAAGAAGGCCGGAGCATACAACGACCGAAACGTTGTGAATATTGCACCGAAGATGAGGATAACAGTTCGAATAATGTAACTAATATAAATATTTCTTTCGTTTTAATTTTACTTGCTTTATTTCCACTAGGTGTAGAAATTCCTCTTCTATGTGACGTCTCCATTCAGGACATGAGCGATCTTGACTCTCTACAATTTCCAGTCTCTTGCAGCTCTTAATAAATTTCTATCTACCCTAATCTTTGTTCTTCTAACCATTTACACAAGTTCCGCTGATTTCTTCTGTCTCTCTTGCCTTCAATATGTCTAGTCAGTGTCAAATTTTCTAAACCCTCTTTCCTCATTATGTGCCTGGAAATTTTAACTATCACTTTCTGATACTAAGTATATGTTCTTTTTGTTTCCATTTTCTCTAAAACTTCGTCATAACTCATACGTCGAGTTCATGTTTTTTCTGCATCCTTTTATAGAACCATATTTCTGATGCTTCAAGTTTCTTCTTCATCTGTGAAGAGATTGTCCAGCATTACCTGTCATGCAGGAGGACTGATTTTTCACAATAGTTATGTACTCTTTTCTTTCTTTCTTACGAAACTGTCGATCCAGGTAACCTAATTTCGATATTCGATATTATCTATATTTAATCGATGGTGATAGATTTTTCTTATGCTGCTGTTCAGTCTAGGGATATCTCGTCTTGTTCTTATTTAAAACCGTTCAGTTATTGCTTACTCCATATATTAAATAATAGTTTCACACTATTATATTTTAGTGGCAATGTATTTGGCCCAGACTTTCTGAGGCTGACCTTAAGGTCAGCTGCTAGGAAAACAAAGGAAGTTGTTTTTGATTTCCTTAGCCGAATGTGGGAATGTTAGATTCAGAAAGTGTTTTCGAAGAATGCAGACGTGCTAATTTCGTGTGCGGGGAACTTACTCCCCAGTGGGGGTGAGACAGCTACCCCACTGGCTAGTTAAAAATGTACACGTCGAAGTGTTTAATAAAATAGACAGGTTTAAAATCCCTTTTGTTGAAGGTCTCATTTTACCTCCGAACAAACCAACGAGCAATCACCCAAACGGGAGAAGACGGCCGAGAGAGAAGAATGCAGCTTCGTTATGAAATCGACCCCGTCAGCCAAAAGACCTCTGCAAAACGAAGTGGCTATACAACACTTATCAATCCAGCCCGCGCATTGAACTCCTAATTACTATGTTACCAACGATTTAATCCATTAAGCCATTGTTCCGAATGTAAATAATGGTAAGTCCTAACCCCAGAAATTCATATAGAATCTTTATAATTCAAGCCAAAGGACACTGTCATAATTTATCGTTTCTTAATTACTGTATTCTGCAAATATATTTCTGCTTACCATCAGGATGGCTGATGTTGAACTCCAGAAGAGCAACACTTTACGTCTTCTTGTCTGCATGTTTTCCACTGACATCAAGTATACCGACTACATCGAGTCAATTGCTACGTTTACTGCAACGAAAGTTACTTCACTGTGCCGTGCCAAAAGATTTTTCTCGTCAGAATCCATCTTGCACATATATAAATCTACCATTCGTCCGTGTATTGAATACAACTGCTATATCTGGTCTGGTGCTGCTCCTGTTCATCTCGAGATTTATGACAAAATCCAGAGATGGGTCTGCAATACAATCGACCTTGACCAGAAATCTTGTCACTTTCTCACCGACGTGACGTGGTTCCCCTCTGCCATTTCTACAAATATTTTCACGTTAACTACTTGGACGAGCTTTCTTTTTCTGGTGCGCCGACTACATGAATTTATACGTGCTACTAGATTGACAACTAGGTTTCACCGCTTTACTAGCTAGATGCAACCATCATTTCTACTCTAACAGTTTATTTTCTCGCAATTCCCTCATGTGGAACTCGCTTCCGATTTCTTACTTCCCTGATAAATACAATCTTCAAAAATTTAAATGCAATGTCAATCGCCATCATCTTTGAAATCTATTTTTTGCCCTTTCGTCAATCTGCTCCATTTTCAATCTTTTCATTCTATTTTCACTCCCTGTAATTCCCTGTGTGCTTATGGCATTGTCGCCTTGCTTGGGGTGAAAAGATTAAAAAACAAATAACTGACCTCGACTAAATTGGTATTAGCCAATATTTATTTAATGTATTCGAACACTAAATATTGTAGGATGTACTGAGGTCGAATCCGTGTTTTCAAGCCAATCACGATTCAGATATTTTTGTAATATGCATTTGTTACTACTTAATAATAACATTTTGTTTACTAATTTTATAGGATTGGGACAGGAGATTTTGATTGACCGGCTAAAACTCAGCAAAAGGAACGCTAGTTGTTGTAGAAAGGGAAATGGAATTTGGGGATATGGAAGAACTTAATCTGTGCGTCAATATTTGCTGTTTTTTCGAAGGAATTTGCTTGACCTATTGACAAGGGTACTTTTTTAGTTGTTGGTGATGATGAGGTTGAAAAATGAAAGCTAAAGAATGAGAGGGTAGGGGAGAATGGTTGATGGAGGGAGTAGAATTTTAGAATTTTGTGATGCCATGAAAGGAAAGGAAAAGAAAGGAAAAAGAAAATAAATAAAAAAGTAAACGAAAAGGATTCAAAAGAAAAAATAAATGGGAAGAAGAAAGAAAGAAAGAAAGAAAGAAAGAAAGAAAGAAAGAAAGAAAGAAAACATGGAAGAAGGAAGAAAAAGGAAAAACTCAAACGAATAGTGACAAAAGAAAAGAGCGTGATAGGGGGAATGAGAGAGGAAGAAAAGGGTAAATGATTATGCGAGAGAAGAAAGGAAACTGGCAATTAAAAACTTTGAAAGAAAGAAAGAAAAAAAAGAAAGAGATAAAAAAAATAAAGAAAGAAGGAGCCTATAAGAAAGAAGTAAAGAAAAGAAGAAAAATAAAGTAAAAGAAAAAGACTAAGAAAGTAGAAAAAGAAAAGAAAAGAAGAAAGATGAATTTCAGCGCAGTACTAGATTGGCGGCAAGGTCTCATCATTTTATATTTGAAATGGTTAGATGTAACCGCAAGTTCTATGCTAACAGTTTCTTCTATGCCACTTTCAGCTTGTGAAAATCTATTCCGGCTTCTTGTTTTCCAATCGACTTTGATCTGCAAAATTATAATTGCAATTTCAATCTTCTGTTTTCTTTTGTTCTTTTATTGACTTCTCTTCTTAATAGTATTTTCTCACATTCTCTAACACTCAGTAGCCCCTTGCATCTTAGTGGCTTTATTGCCTTGCTTGGGGTGAAATGATTAAAAAAAGAATGAATAAATAAAGAAGAAAATGAAAAAACAAAGAAAAAAGAAAGAAAGAAAAAAAAAAAGAAAATCCTTTTTATCGGTACCAGTGGAAAACGTTCGAAAGTCAAATGCTGATTTTCAAAGTAGACAAGCACCTATTTGGAACATTGGTGTATATTATCCCACAATATCCCTACACTCATTTACTGCAACAATCTCAACTTGTCCTTGTTCAGAGTATAGCTAAGATTATTAAATATCAATAACCAGAGATGTAGAAAAAAGCGTGAAGGAAGGGAGGGAAGGAAGTCCTCGTTTGAATTATATTTACATATCAAATGGCTGTTGACTACGCTTTCCTTAATTTTGACACAAGGCTGCAAACATGAGGCTCCTAGTTTGGATTAAACTTGCTAGTTAGAAACAATAATTTGGGCGAGCACGTGATCAGCACTTACTCCGTGAGGAGACACCTTCACAACATGGCTAATGATCAGAAACGCTGTTTTTGCCAAGTGATTATCAATCATTTTTATTAAATTAGTAATTAAATCTTCGATAAAACGTAGAAAATGATAAAGTTCACTTATTTATATTTTTAAATTCAATAAAGAAATAAAGTAAAATAGCCAAAAAATACAGAAATATTCTATTTATTTTTTGACAGGAAACGTGGGCGTTTCAAAGCATACAACAAACGCCGATGGTTGGTCGAATGGCTTTGTTCCAAATAGTTATTTTGTTTTCACCTCTCAGCTGATGTGAACACCGCTGCAGCACACACACACAAAGACTTGAGACATACACACATTCCAAACTCCATACACTGTGTCTATAAAGCCTCAAATTTATTTTCGTTCTCGCAAATGTCGGCAAGAGCAGTCAGTCTTCTTTCACTACTAGATACTATATTGAAATGTAAAGAAAGTCAATGATTAACAATGACGGATTTTAGTAACCTATCTAGTTACTTATAAACATGGAAAACATAAATACTGAAAGCAAATTTAATTTTCTTTTTAGGTTCTTAGTATTCCATCTTTAATTTGATGAAACCAGCTAAAAATACTATAATAATAATGACTCAAAAAATACGTTCATTTTTTTGATGTGTAATTTATTCGAACTTAAAATCACACTATTTAAA